GGAGGAGGAGGAGGAGGAGGAGGAGGAGGGGAGGAGGAGGAGGAGAGGAGGAGGCACAAGGAGGAGGATTGCCGCCGACCCCCCAGTCGGGCCAGGACCAGCTCAAGAAGCTGTTGACCAAGATGGAGGGGTCGGTCGCGATCAAGAAGCTGGCGAATCCCAAGAAGCAGGCCAAGAAGGCGAAGCCGAACCAGGGCTCTTCTGCCACGACCGCGACAGAGGTGCGCCGAGACGAGATGGGGCCCAGGAGGGAGGAGGAGGAGGAGGAGGGGGAGGAGGAGGATGAGGAGGAGGAGCAGGAGGAGTTGAAAAAAGGAGGGCCAGGGAGGACGAGGAGGATGAGGAGGAGCGGAAGGGGGGGGGAAGGAAAGGGGAGGAGGGCGAGAAAAGCCCAGAGACAAAGCCCTGGGGCCCCTGGCGGCCCCTGCCATATCATGCCCTAACACGTCACCGCGCCGTCGGATAATTTTGGGGAGGGGGGCATGAGGCATGGGGGGGAGGAGATAGGAGGAGGAGGAGCTCAGACGGTGTCTGATGCCAGGATCTGTCGCGCGCCGGGCCGTCGCAGCGACGCGCGGGGCAACCGACAGAAGCTTGCGGCTGGCGGGGGAAACGGGGGGCAGGAGGAGGAGTCGGAGGAGTCGGGGGAGGACAAGGAGGAGGATAAGGAGGAGTAGGAGAGGGGAGAGGAGGATGAGAAGGAGGCGGAGGAGGACGAGGGGGGCCAGACACGTGAACCTGGGATCTGGAACCACGACGCGCGGATAGGAGGAGGACGAGGAGGAGGAGGAGGAGGGCGAGGGGGGGGAAGGCGAGGAGGTGGAGGACTAGGAGGAGGCGGCATAAGCCATGCCCATGGGCCCACAAATCTGAACATTCCCAAGCGCAATTTCCAGCTCAAGCCCCCAGCGCAATCCCCCAGCACAACCTCGCAGCACATCGTGCACATCCCACCAGCACAACGCCCCGGCGCGACCTCCCAGCACATGCCCCAACCCACTTCCCCAACCCACTTCCCCAACGCACCCCCCCAGCACAACCTCCAGCACAACCGCTCAGCGCAATCCCCTGGCACAATCGCCAGCGCAGCGCAATCCCCTCAGCGCAACCCCCCCAGCGCAACCCACCAGCACTCCAGCACAGCACGCACCTCTCCCCCGCATCGAGGGGCAAAGTTCGGGGCCGATCCGCGATCACCTCGAGTGGCAAAGCTCGGGGCCGATCCGAGGTCACCTCGAGGGGCAAACCTCGGGACCGATCCGAGGTCACCTCGACTCGAGGGGTAGAGCTCGTAGAGCTCGGGACCGATCCGCGGTCACCTCGAGGGGTAAAGTTCGGGGCCGATCCGCGGTCACCTCGAGTGGCCAAATCGCCTCGAGGGACTCGAGGGGCCCGAGGGGCAAAGCTCGGAACCGATCCGAGGTAAAGTTCGGGGCCGATCCGCGGTCAGCTCGAGCGGCAAAGCTCGGGACCGATCCGAGGTCACTTTGAGGGGCCCAAAGTTCGGGACCGATCCGCGGCCCCGAAAATGGTTCACCGAGCCCCCCCCCCCCCCGGTGCACCAAGCCCCCCCCGGTACACCGAGGGGGGGGGCTCAGTATACCATTTTGGTCGGTTTCAGTGGCTGGGAGCTGGGAACCCCCCTCTGAAACCCCAGGGCGGGGTCGGAGATCGCCCCGAGCGGGCCCCGACAGGGCGCTGGCAGGGCTCCAAGAAGGACCCATGAGTGGGACCCATGAGGGCCCCCAACAGATTCATGCGTCTGTTGGTTCAGGCGGCCCTCCCGGGGGCTCCCGCGGTCACCTCTCGAGGGAACAAGTTGGAGGCCGGCCGATCCGCCGATCCGCGGTCACCTCGAGCGGCAATGTTCGGGGCCGATCCGAGGTCACCTCGAGGGGTAAGGCTCGGGACCGATCTGAGGTCACCTCGAGGGGTGCAGCTCGGGGCTGCCGATCCGCGGTCACCGCGAGGGGTAAAGTTCGGGGCCGATCCGAGGTCACCTCGAGCGGCGCAGCTCGGGGCCGATCCGAGGTCGCCTCAGGGGTGAAGCGCGGGGCCGATACGCGGCCACCTCGAGGGGGAGGTTCCTTTTTTTGTTTTCTTTTTAAAGGAGGAGGGAGAGGAGAGTGGAGGGGGTGAGGATCACGCGTGAGAGTGAGCGAGTGAGGAGTGAGGAGGAAGGAGGGAGGAGGGGAGGGGAGCGGGGGAAGAGGAACAAGGGGGGAGGGAGGTTTAGGGAGGGACCAAGGGAGGAGGAGAGGGGAGGGAGGGGGAGGAGGAGAAGGAGGAGGTGCGCGGAGAGGAATGAGGAGGAGGAGGAGGGAGGGTGAGGAGGAGGAGGAGGAGGAGCGCGGGAAGGGAGCTGGGAGGAGGAAAGGGGAGTGGGGAGGGAGGAGGAGGAGGGGGAGACCGAGGAGGAGGAGGCGGGGGGAGGAGGAGGAGAGACGGAGGAGAGGGAGGAGTGAGGAGGGGAGGAGGACGGATGAGGGAGGGCGTCGCGGTTTCCGGTTTGAGAAATCTGCCACAAACGCAGGCGGAATCTGGCCTCGACGCGCTGAGAGGAGGAGAAGGAGGGAAGAGGCGGAGGAGGAGGAGGAGGCGGGAGGAGGGAGCGAGGAGGGAGGAGGAGGAAGAGGATACAGTTGAAAAAAGAGGAAAAGGGAGACAGAGAGGACGAAAGGGAGTGAGGGAGGGGGGAAGAAGAGGGCGAAGAGTAAAAAGAAAGAGGGGGGGGGGGAAAGAGCGAGGAGGAGGTGGGTAGGATTGGGAGGAGGAGGAGGGAAGGAGTGAGGAGGAGGAGGAGGAGACTCCAGGCGAGAAAGAAAAGGAGGGGGATGGTTAGGGAGGAGGAGGGGGAGTCAGAGAGGAGGAGGAGGAGTGAGGAGGGAGGAGGAGGGAGGAGGGGGGGGAAGAGGGAGGAGGAGGAGAAGGTGGGAGGATTGAGGAGGAAGGACGAGTAAGGAGGGCGAGGGTGGACCGAGGAGGGCGAGGACGAGGGGGGGAGGAGGAGGAGGAGAAGGAGGAGGAGGAGGAGGAGGAGGAGGAGGAGGGGGAGGAGGGTAGAGGAACGTAGTAGTAGGGTCGCAGTTGTTTGAGAAGCCGAGAAGCCGAGGTGAAAGAGAGCGCAGACACGAAGGTTGCTAGCGGCGACACTGTCCGGGAGAAGTACTGGTTGGACGACGTCGCCCACTGCGTCGAGCACGAGCTGTCCAAGCTGGTCTCCACGCCGCCGGAGAGCTACGCGGTCAATTGCATGGCCACCCTCATTTCGATTGCTCTGGAGTTTTGCTTCATGCACGTCATCGTCGTCGGGCGTCTGAAGTACGAGGCCTGGTCGGCGCTGCGATCCAAGATGCAGGAGACCGTTGCACAGGCCATGGCGCCGCACAGCGCGTTGGGCTTGCAGGAAGACTCAGGAGTCGGAGACAGGGTGATGGCCAGTCTGAACAACGAGCCCGCGCCTGCGGAGCCCGGGGAGGGCGGCGAGGAGGTCAGGGAGGAGGGGCCCTACAAGACGACGGGCCTGAGCCAGCTTGTCGACGACACGGCCCGCAAGTCCACCTTGAAAGCGTTCGTCGCTCAGAGCATCGACAAGAAGATCCCCCCGCGGGCCCACCCAGCCTTCGCCAACTTCAGGTCCAAGTTATGCATGGCGCTTCGTTTCGAGAACA